TGCTGTGTTTTTTGTTATTTTCAATCAAAATGAAACCTTTATTGCCAAGGGCACCTTCTTCAGTTCACCTTTCCTTTTTTATTTACTGCTTCATTATTGCTTTTCATATTTGCCTCATTCAATCATTTCACTCACAGCTCTCAATCTCCAGTGAGCAGGTTTGGGTGTCCAGGGGGAAGCGACTGAGGTCCATGTTGCACATAGCAGTGACCGTGACTCTGCAGGAAAGAACAGATCCTCTGTCATTCACCAACCATGAAAACAAACTGACCTGAATACAAAGCAAGAATAACTAAACCTGGAGCTCCTGGGTTTAATAATGAGAATAATTAGTGTCTATGATGCTATGTTTAATAAATTAATTATTTAAGTTGTACATGCTGCAAAAATAAAAAGTAAAAATCATATAAAACTAAAGTATTTTATTCCCCTTGTACCTTAGGTGCATGCTGTGGTTGGAAAATATTTACTGCTGGAAGCAAAGCAGGGGAATAAAACATGGAGGATGCTGTCGGAGAGAGGGGGATGATACTGCTGCAAAGGATCTTTGTAATCTAGAGAGAAACTCTTGCCAAGTGCATGTTATATCCGTACGATTAGAGGCTATTCTAACAGACAGAGCTGCTCAATTAGAAGTTATTAAATGGAGACTGTAAAATTTGTTCAGAGCAGTTTCTCTACTGTGGGTACAGAACACCATCTGTCTGGGGTAAAAAGTGAAATAAAATGCTAAATAAAACGACTTTTATTTAGTTTGATCATATAGGTCAGTGCAGCCATACTAGTTCTGATGTCACCTATCAGTCAGAAAAGCAGTACTTCTGAAATTTAAGGTGATATTTCTTCATCTTAAGGGGGAACAGTTACAGGGATGACTCATTTTACCATCATTTTGATAATGTCCCACTTAAAGCTTACGGGTTTCTAAAAGCCTGACTGAATTTATTTCCTCTGTGAGATATCTTTTATGTTCCATTAAGACCTGTATCTGAATGGAAGTCTGTCAGCACCTTTATACCTGTGGTGACGGCGGAGGACGGTTCTATTCAAAGCACCTTTCACACTTACAACATTAGAAAAGCCTTCAAATACATTCGTATTTCACTGCAGAATTACAATTTTATACTGAATATTTAAGAACTGTCTTTTATATGAGGACATTTATTTATTGGTGGAAAAAAATCCCACATTAAGGAAAGAAGTTGTGATTTTAATTAATATTCGGCTGCTATTAGTTGTTTGAACCTCTTCCTGTTGCCGAAAGCATTTAGTCTTCTAATGTTTCAAAACACTGGAGCCTAAGAAGACAGAGCTTCGATAAGAATTTTTAACTTAATCTCTCCACATAACCATGGTTGAGACTTGTTAACCTTATAATTTGTTAAAAGATTTAGCTACCACTGTCATGATCTGGCCTGTTTGCTCCTTAATGAGTAATTATTTTTCCCTCCCTGCCTCAATTATCATTTATTCCTCTCACCTGTTTCCTTTGGTTTATATTCAGTTCAGCCTGAGCATTCAGGGCCAGATCATTGCTTGTCTTTCTGTCAGTCTGTCTGTTCAGTTTTTTAGTTCATGGTTCATGTCCTGGATCCTAGCAGCCAGTGGAAAGAGGGTTTTAGTGTTTGTCTCGTCTCCTGATCGTCCACTGTTCCTCCCCCGCGGAGTCCTCTGGGTTTTTGACTCAATATGTGGGGAGGTTCAGTTTTTATCCAGTAAGCCTGGCTCCAGGGAGGAGACCAGTTTAAAGTCCTGCATCAAGTTCTGGTTCCACGTCCTGTCTCAGCTACCCTCTTCCACTGTGTCTGCCTGTCTGCACCTGATCCTGTCTGCTCCTGTGCGTGACCACCTGGTCATGGTTCTGGTCCCAGTCAGACTCTGAACCCTCCTGGGAGCCTGTGGATGCCTGGAAGTCTGGATCCTGCCACCTGTTTCTGTTCCTGTCTGTTCTGGATCCCTGACCAGGATCAGCTTCCAGCATGACCTCTGGGACTGCAGCACTTGGGGACATTCTTGGTCTGGACTGTTAAACCAGGTAAGTGACCAACTCAGATAATCTTCTGTCAGATGATCCCACTACAGAGTATCTGAGATTGGGCGTTGCCCCGCTACCCATCCTGCAGTGTCCGCGAGCCACAGCTCCGCTTTTGTTTTGTTTATTTAATAAACGTTTTAAACTTTCCTACTGACTGTCTCTCCTTGAATAATGGGTCCATCTGTCCTCGTTTCATGACAACCACTTTATCTTCCAAAAATAATACACCCACAGAACGTTTACAGTGCTGAAGAATAAAAGTATATATTTTACTGAAAAATTATATAATTATTGTGTTTTTTTTTAAATATTTACGTTTTCTTACAATGCTAACCGGGGGTGTACCGATACCACTGTTTCATTTCAAATACGATACAAATATAGCCTCTTTTAAGATTTGACCGATACGATATTGATCTGATAATGAGAGAACTATACACTGGAAAAAATGGAAATCTTGATAAGTCATTTTTTCTTAAAATAAGTGTATTTGTTCTTGGATTGAGGAGGTAAAATAGACATCTTGCCAATGGAGCAAGACCATATACACTTAAAATAAGAAAACACAATTGCATTGTCTTATTTCAAGTGTATTTTATCCAATTATCTTATTCTAAGAGTAAATATTCTCATTCCATTGGCAAATTATCTCATTTAACTACTTAAATTAAGGGTAAATACATTTAAATGAAGAAATTTTTTCTTATTCCTAGATCGTTTTCCCAGTGTAGTCAACAATGAAAGGTATGAGAACAACTGACCTGTATAATATTAAAAAATGAGCTGCAGGACGTTTCTATCTAGCAGAGTGTTTCTATCAGGATGGCATTATTGGAGATTTTAGATGCTGGCTGATATAACCAGATATTAGTTTTTGGGCTAATGTCGGACTAAATCGCCGCACTGCAAAAACCATCTAGAAATAAGTCAACATGTCTTAAATTAAGTGTATTTACCCTTAATTTGAGCGGGGAAATAAGATGATTTGCCAAATGAAAGAGTATATTTACTCTTAGAATAAGATAATTAGATAATTGAAATAAGACACTGCAATTGTTTTTTTCTTATTTTAAATTAGGGCTGTCAAAATTAACGCGTTAACGCGAGATGATTAATTTCTGGAATTAACGCAATATATTTTTTTAAAGCATTAACGCAGTCCCGCCCTGTTTTACCCAAAATTCAATTGTCCAACATGAGCGAGATGGAGGAATCAGAAGAACCCGTTGGCCGACTGGATGGACAGTTCGAGTATAAAAAAAAAACAAAGATGTTGTGGTTTGCTCACACTGCAAGAAGGACTTTTTGTTTCACCGAAGCACCTCTAGCCTTAAATATCATCTTAACGCCAAGCATTCATTTGCTGGGGCTTCAACTTCAGGTTTTTTACGACACGCATGCGTCAGACCACCCTCACCGAACGCAGGGCATTAAGTAACGGTCTGCTTTACATTCAGAAAATGTTAACCAGTTAGTTTGCCTTAACAACTGGCTAAAAGATGAATAAATAATAGGTAAAATGACCTCATGTAATTGTTTACACTGGAAAAACGATCTAGAAAAAAGTTAAAATTTCTTAAATTAAGTGTATTTACCCTAATTTGAGTAGGTAAATAAGATACTTTGCCAATGGAATGAGTCTTTTTTCTCTTAAAATAAGATAATTAGATAAATATGCACTTGAAATAAGACAATGCCAGTGTCTTTTCTTATTTTAAGTGTTAATATTCTTGTTCTATTGGCAAAATGTCTGTTTTACCTCCTCAATCCAAGAACAAATGCACTAATTTTAAGAAGAAAATGACTTATATAGATTTTGACTTTTTCCAGTGTAAAAGTGAAGTTGTTTGTTTTCAACGAAAAACGTTCCATTCACCCATCCTGTATTTGCTTAAAAAAAAAAAAAAGTTAATAAGTTGCCAAAACTGTTGAGAATTAAAATTATTTTTTTTTTTTATTTGTCTCTAATAAAAACTAAATGTAATACCCATCTTGCTTATCTTTCTGTTTTGAAAACAGTACACAGAAAATGTGTATTTTTCAATAATATTTAGGTTAGTGAGTAATCGAAATTAATTCAAGAAACCTTGTGATTAATTACCGTAGATTGAAAATTTGAATCGTTTGACAGCCCTATTTTAAATGTAAATGGTCTTTTGCATTGGCAAGGTTTCACACTTACCTTCTCGATTCAAGGAAAATTGCACTTATTTTAAGAAAAAATTACTTGTTGAGATTTAAGTTTTTTCCAGTATTATTGGATCGGGACACCCCTCACTGCAAAAAAAAAAAATGAAATTAAGTAAAAATTTCTTAAATCAAGTGTATTTACCCTTAATTTAAGCATGTAAATAAGATAGTTTGCCAATGGGATGAGTATTTTTACACTTAAAATAAGATAATTAGATAATTTGCACTTGAAATAAGACAATTCAATTGATTTTTCTTATTTCAAATGTAAATTGTCTTGTTCCATTGGCAAAGTGTCTCATTTATCTCCTCAAATCAGGATAAAATGCACTTATTTTAAGAAAAAATGATTTATTTAGATTTACATTTTTTGCAGTGCTAATAATAACCTTAGCATTAAAGGATTCTGCACCAATACGAACAGAAGGTTTAAGTCAGATCTTTAACTTGAAGGTTTTCTATACATCTTTGTCTAGGTGCTAATAATCTGTTTGCTTCTGCACACTAAACATGCTTAGCGTGTCAATGAGTCGATGCAATAAACTTGAAAACTTTGAATCAATCTGACTGGATGATCTGATGAACTGTAAAGTACCTTGAGATGGCATGATGTGAATTGGTGCTATAGAAATTAACTGAATTGAATTCTGCTTATTGACTTGATTGAAAACAAGTTAAAACTGCTGCATTGGATTTGTTTGAACTTTCAAATTAGCTTTGTGAAATACATACTGACACCCAGATGATAGCGGAGACAAGAGTGGGAAAGACGGTTCTTCCTGATTTGGGTTTAGAGAACAGACTGATCTTACCTGAGGCTGTAGAGCACATTGCCATCAGGATAGACTCTCAACATGACGTTGTCAGTGGTGGTGTCATGGATGAAAGAGCGCTTAGAGTGGACAAAGAACATGTCGGGAACCCAAATTTTCTTCACCAGGCGACTGTCGAAGGTCATGCTCTGGTTGTTATTGCTGGGGAACGACAGCCGCTCATCTTTCCAGTAGTGACGCAGGTATAACGTCATTGTGAAGTCCTACAGGGACAAAAAAAAATACATTGATTTGAAAGATGATTCAGTTTATTTCTACAAAAAAAATTCATATTGTTTAAAGATACCTGGCAGGAAAAAACATATCCACAGACGATTAGACAGATTTCTCATTTTAAATAACCCCCTTTAAAACACTGGTTTAGCTTTCATTTCTCTAAAAGATTATTATTATTAAGTTGACTGACAAAGGGAAAAAAAGAAGTGCGTAATGCATTTGTCTCAGCAGGTGATGGCTTTTGAAACTGCCTTTCATACTGCCAAGCTGAAGGTAAACATTTGAGCAATATGTGTTAAGAGAAGCTGGCTGACAATAGGCCTGTATAAATCATGTATGGAGGGAAGGTAAACCCTGATTCTCTCTGCCGTACTGACTGTTTGCAGTCTGGATCTGTAGATCCTTCTTTGTGGCTGAGCCAAAGCACATGGTGAAGGATGGACACAAGACTGACAGTGTAGAGGATGACCATCAGCTCCAACGAGGAATTTTTACTCCAAGTTACTTAGAACATGTCTCTTCAGGGTTTGCGCATTTAGAGACAGATACTTTAGTCTCATCCACTGATAGGGTTGCCAACCGTCCCTTGAAAAACGTAATTGTTCCATATTTAATAGACAGAAGTACCTGTCCCTTATTTAGTGGAAAAGTCAGTAAAAAGCTGATGGAAAATGAAGAACAAGGGCAAGTTAGATACAAAACTTACGGTAAACCTTTTTTCCGGGCCCTGTCCTGCGTTGTGACCAATGAGCTGACAACATATTTGTAACTATCCAGAATACCCTCATCCCATTGGTCGAGCCAAGTGTTGCTCACAGAGAAGATAGCGGGAGACAACAGAGCAGCATCACTCAAAAACAAACAAGTCCTCACTACTGAAAGAGCTCAGAGGAAATACAAGTGGAATAAGTAGGCTATCGCCACATAATGGGGGCATTGAGCTAAGGATTTTTTTTTTATTTCACAACTGTAGCCTGTAGTCATTGCATTTAATGTTAGGTTTCTGTTTCTGTTTTGTTTTTCTTTTGCACCTTGATTTCCAGTGTTTAGTTTTCTTTTCACCATGTTTCTTTATCCTAGTTATTTGATTATTATTTTGTTGTTGTTTTCTTATTAGTTCCTGTCTTCCAGGTTTTCCATTTGTTGTCCTCTGCTGCCCTCTTGTGTCCTCTTTCTCTTGCTCTGTTTTCTGTTCAGCCCTCACCTGTTTTCGATTCCCTCATTAACCCTCTCCCTGTCTCTGTCCCCTTTAAAAACCCTTCCTCTTCAGTTCCTGCTTGCTGGATCCTCGTCTAACCTCTCATCTAACC